CTTGGTCAGCTTGCTTCTCACACCAAACCTTCCGTCAAGGAATCTTGATGTGACCTTTGACCCAGCTCTCACCCTGCCTGTCATGTCAGTTCTCTTGTTCGCTTTTCCTTCTTCCATCTCAGGAACGTTGCTAAGCTGAGTCCCATTCTGTCCCGCTCTGAACTTGAGACAGTTCTCCACACCTTCATCTCCTCACGCTTAGACTACTGTAACTCTCTTTTCACGTGTCTGAGCAGAACCTCCCTGAACCGTCTACAGGTGGTTCAGAATGCCTGTGCTCGGCTTCTGACCAAGTCCTCCAAACACACCCACATCACCCCGCTTCTCCTCCAGCTTTATTGGCTGCCAGCCAACTTCACGGTTCATTTCAAGATCCTGGTTCTGGTCTATAGGGCCTTACATGGACAAGCACCATCTTACATTGGTGATCTTCTTAGTCCCTAGACCCCCAGCAAGTCCCTGAGGTCCAGTGATCAAAGCCTACTGGTTGTGCAGCACCAGGCTAAAGACCAAAGGTGACTGACTGATCATTTGCTGCTGTGGCCCCCAGACTCTGGACCTCTCTCCCCCTGAGCCTGAGATCAGTGGACTCAGTGTGCTTTAAAAAGCAGCTGAAGACTCACTTGTCCAAGCTGGCTTTTGTATGACCTTCTCCACCACTCTCTCTTTATTCTGCTCTCCCCACCTATTCCACCTTCCTCAGGATCCACTGATTTCCCTCTTTCCTATTCACTCTCTCTCTTTCTTAACATTTTTTTAATCACAATTGTCTATTTTTTGCTCATTTTAAATATATTTTAACCATTTTCTAAATTCTTTTTTATATTTTTAATTTTTGATTTTTGTGAAGCGCCTCATTTTTATCTTGAGAGACGCTATAGAAATGATTTTCTTATATATATATATATATATATATATATATATATATATATATATGTATATATATATATATATATGTATATATATATATATATGTATATTGATATGTATATATATATATAGACAGAGAGAGAGAGAGAGAGATATCTACACACATATATATATATTGCTATATGTATTACTATATGTATTACTTACCATGTAGATGCACTTTTCTAAGTGTTGCCAACTCTGCATTTTCCTTTGTGCGTCCTCAAACGCCCATGCATGCTCTGCGATTGACTTCTGTATGTAAACAAACACCTAACGCTATTGGCTAATCCTGAACGATGGTCAGTTTAAACTGCACTGGGCTCTATGGGAAGGAGGGGCAGATTTGGCAAAAAGACATATTGCTAACATAATACCACAGAACAGGCTAAGACTATCACTTTTACAGATACAATAATCATGCATAATTCTAAAGGGGAGGACTCTGGACTGCAGCTTTAAGCCAGTTTACTTGTAAATGTTTAGTTGTTGATGAAAGTAACGGAAACAGATTCTAATGTTAAACAGAAGAAAACATTTCCTTCAGCCCAGAGGAGCTGACCTGCTGCATGTCGGAGGATTTGAGGAACTTTGGAGGATTTGGTAGGATCAGGTTTTGGATTTTGTTGAGATCTGGGAGAGTCCAGAGCTGGTGGATTATTTCTCCCTGAACATTGACTTGTAAGGCATTCCTGTGCCTCAGGCTCTGATCTGTGACTATATATGAAGAGTTTCAGTGTAAAAGCAGACATCCGCCATGAGAACGACATGTAACCTCTACCCAGAATGCATCTGTGTCCTGCTAAAAACTACATCTCACCAAGTTTGGTGATTCTTCCACAAGAAGCCAGAGGAAGTTGTTTTGGTTTGGTCTGAGGGAAGTCCAGCAGGTGATCACAAAACACATCTAAACATGAAGAAAAGCGCTTTAGAGACCAAATAAGCCTGGATTGGTCCAGTCAGGCCCGGCCGATCCCAGAGTCCAAACTTCTCTGCAGAGCAAGACCGAACTGGTTTGGATTCTTTAGGAAAAAGACTGAAACTAAACATTTAAATCTTAACTTACTGTTTCTAAAACCAAAACTGTGAAACTACATTTTTATCTGAGCTTAAAGACATTTTTAATTCAAGTCAGTTTCAATAAAAAACTGTTTAAAACTCAGGTTTTGTTTCGCATTTTAAGTTCTTCAGATGATCTCCAGAGATTAAACTGAAGAGTAAATCCTGAAGGATATTCTGCAGTAAAAACTTCAGTAGCAGTACTACAGCTGTGGTTCGTTTTTCTGCCATTGCTGAACTGGAGTTAGTTGTTAGTTCAGAAGCTGAAAAGATGACAAAGTGCAGCTTTAAGCGACTCAGCTGGGAGTAAATAAACAAAAATCTTCCTAAAATAATAAATCTTAATAATGTGAGTCTGAACGGCGCTTTATTCTCCTTTAATGCATTTGAACTTGACCACATTAGATGTGTTCAATCTGAATAAAGGGTCGTGGTTGTGTTGTTTTCTGACCCAAAGGTCTGGTTCAGGACCATCTGACTGAGCTGGACCCGTTAGATCTGCAGCGCTGCAGTCCGTCCTCACCGCCCTGCTGAGGACGCAGTGCAGACCACGACTCAGCAGAGAGGAAACGCTGCGTCACTTCAGCAGACCTGAAACTCGGAGGACTTCTACTGCTGTTGGACTGATGCCTGAAAACTCAACACCTACCGTATATAATTATGGCATTAATGTGTTTGTAGAACATTTATGTCCTTTCCCTCTGGGTGCTTCTGAGTCATCTGTATCCATTTGTTGGTGCAGAGTGGAGGGGGCTGTTGTCCATCTCCAGCAGCTTTAAATCTCTTATTTTATTATAAGTTTTGCGTTGTAAAAACGTGATTTGGCCACCTCCAGCTTCTTTATGCTTAAATCCCAACGTCAACGCTTCAGTGAAACAGTGCTGTGTGATGTGACTTTACTCTGAGATGAAAAGAAACCAGATTTTCTTAGATTAAATCTTCATAAACACCAAATTCACAGATAACATCTAGTTTACTTCAGTTTATTTTTCTACATTTGAACCTTTTATTGGTTTTTGTTGTAGAAACCAGCTTCCTGTGGTTTAAAGGAGCCGACAGGAAGCACTGGTGATCCCAGACCTACAACAGAAGGAGTCCCCTACCGCCTGATCTTCAGTGACTTGGCAGCATTACGCCTTCCTTTTCATCCGAAGATTTCCAGAAACTTCTCGAGAAGATCCCAGTCTGCGGAAAGGCACGAGGGCTCTGCCTCAGTAATCTGAGGCCAGTCCTACATGAAAGACTCCTGGTGCTAAGCCAGAGAACAAATCATGTCCCTGGGTAGCGAGCAGAGGACAACCGGCTAACTGAAACATCACTGATGGCATTGGCTGGCCAGCACTCCCATCCAGGAATCATCATGATAACACCACACAGCGACAAGGAGCCGGCAAAAAAGGAATATCAAAGGAATTTCTTGCCAACCAAGCACTCAGCTGCTCAACAGATTTTCTCCTCTGCTGAACAACCCGGGATCAGACACATCTACACAACAGATATCAGAAAATCGGGAAAATATCCCATCATCTCCACAAAACAGGGTAAGGAAAGACAAAAATATCACTAACCCCCATGACAAAAGGAGAAAAACTCTGAGGCTGACCCTCAAACCCTTATAGATGGTAACTTTCATGTCAGCAATGTGGATTTAAACGGCAGAAATACCAGATCATCCTGTTTTCACAAGGATACGGTCGCTGACAGGAGAGAGCGACTCCCAACAGTCCCCATTAAACATCCAGATGTTAAACAGCTCTGACAGATCTACGTCACACTGTCACTTAACATTCATGGAAACACACATCTTGACTTGCGATGCTTTAGTCACTAAATCATCATGGTTTCACGCCCAGGAAACGTAGTAGAAGCTAACCGTTAGCATTAGCAACTCCAACACTCTAAGTTGGTGTTATTTATGGAGACAAAACACGAATGCTGCCAAGCAAACAGAGTCAGTGGTAGAGGTGCACTGCTGTTAGCCAGTCAAAGGAGAGAAGTAAGGCTATACATCCTGAAGCTCTCCTCGGATCTGGACATTTCTTGATCCTAAAACGGGCACAAAGGCTTTTCGTATCCAGGGTACGACTCGCAAGGCTCTCAGTCCTACTAGAGACCACTGCTAATGTATAAAAAAAGGGATTTCCACACCTTTAAGAAATATAATCTCTACTAAAGCCTGATTTATACGTCTCTCAGCTCGAGTGAGGAGTCGTGCGCAAGCATTGACGGAGATGTTTTCTCCTCAGACTTGCCCGTCCCCTGGGACCCCGCCGGGACTACAGAGGGTGTAGTCTGGGATGTCCTGCCACCGTTACAGTCACGTATCCGGTCTAAGATGGTGGATTGACTTTTGTGTTTGTACTGTTTTAATATATTCAGAGACCTTTTTAATACGAACACATTTGTCTCACTCTCCTCCACTGCTCCATGCGGTCAGCACCTTTAAACCCACATTTCTGGTCATTTCCATCCGTGGATAAAAACGCTAGCTCCATATGTTTGTACTCCTTTCACGGGTGAATAAACATTCGTGTTTTTGGACTTTTTTGCGAGCGGCGTTCTTCAGTCTGTTCAGTGTCTGCCGCTACGGTAACGCCGCTGATAAATTTAACAGAAGCGGCATCCTGACCAATCACAAGCTCGTGGTCTCAGTCACATTTTTGATGCACAGATAAAGATTTGGGCACGCCTATGGGGGCCTCTGCATGCCCGTCGAAGCCCTTGCATCGACGCATTTTGGCAATGCGTGTCTCCGTACAGACGCAGACACAAAATTATGAATCAAGCTTAAGAAATCACAGCGTCTGCAGTCATGGAAACACTACTTGGTACGTAGGGAATGTTTCTCTCCACTGTCGCTACATGCTCCAGCCAGAAGTTCTAGTACCGTTTTACAATAAACTCAATAAAATCAATTAATTTATTTAAATGATTCTGACATGTTTTGATGAGTCACCGCTGAACCAGATGGCACTAATATATTTTGTAAAATGTAACCTGTTTGTGGGACAGAACCAGGCGGCAGAACATACCGATTGGCAGAACCAGGAAGAAGGGCAGCCAGCAGAGGATGAACATGCCCACCACCACGCCCAGAGTCTTTGCAGCTTTCTTCTCACGGGAAAACTTGAGCAGCTTGACGGTGAGAGTGTTGCGCCCAGCTGAAACTCCACCCCCTCCTGCTTTGGAGGAGGGGCAAAGGTCCTGGATCTGCTGGTTCCTGCAGTGGATCCGTAGGGTGAGCTCGTTGGAGTCCTCAGCTCGTTCTGTCATCATGCCGGCCTCCAGGTTCTTGGTGGTGCGTTTGGCGACGACGTAAACCCGACAGTACATGGCCAGGATGACAGCCAGCGGGATGTAGAAGGATCCCAGGGAGGAGAAGAGGGCGTAGAACGGCTCCTCGGTTATCAGACACACCGTGTCGTCCTGCGGGAGGGACAGAGGTCAGTGAAGGTCACGCTGGTTTATCACACCTGGATCAGAAACCTGTTCTGATGAAAACTAAACCTTCTGTTGTGAGGGTCAAACTCAAACTTCACAACTGTGTGGTCCAGCTGCTCAGATGCTCTCCGTCTTCAGCAGCACATATATCTGTGTGAGCAGCTGCTGTCTGTGATGAAGATGAACAGAACAACGCAGCTCAGAGCCAACCCCACAGGTGCAGGTGTGTGGCTGGACCTGGGGACCTCATTTATCAAGCTTGCTTACGCACAAAACAGGGTCGGAAAACTGCCTAAACAACTTTACACGTAAACTTTGGGATTTATGAATGAAAACTTAGCGGAAAAATGTGCACAACTTGACGTTGACTAAGGACCTGGCTTACACACATGTTGAACATGGAGAGCACCTGCAGTGCTGCTGCTGAGAAGGATAAAGTTATGAAATCCTGCAGCATTATCACTTGTACTGCTTCGTTTTCACACAGAACAAGACCCCCCACACACACACACACACACACACACACACATTCGCGCGCGCGCACACACACACACACACACACACAGCCTGAAGCGCAGAATACAGAATATCAGCAGGGGGACAGATTGAGACAGAACATCATGCGTCTGTGACAGTGTGTGTGTCCTCTCACTGTGACCCGATTGATCATGCGCCCCGGCTACTTGGACAAGGGAGATCTCCGTTTGGCTGACTGGTTAGCGCGCGTGACTTTCACCTTGGAGTCTAGGGATCGTATCCCGATTGGACCATGTTTTTTATATCCGCCACAGATCTCTCTGAAGAATTCACAACATTGGCGGCTTCAGCAACGCTGTTCCACTCCGTGGATTTTCTCTTATTTGGTTTGCAAAAGCACTTCCTTTCATTTCTCCACCTCACCCACAAGTACTTCAATTTCTTCTTGTGAAAGCGCTTCTTTGATCTGCGGTCGGGATCGAAATGCTTCAACAGCCGGCTTATGTATATGCATGAGATCCACAAGGCACTTTGCATTGACTATTTATGGCAGTAAGTGGGCGTGGCGAGGGCGGGATGTGACTAAAAAGCAGCTGAGAAACATTCTCGTTAGTCTCCGATTTATGAAGCGGAGATTGCGTGCAACTGTGCGTACTCCATGTTTGATAGATCACAAACCTACTTGGCGTAAGAACATTTTTTTGCTGAGCTTAAGTTCGGTTTTAGTAAGGATTCTAGGCAATGTTTGATAAATGAGACCCCTGGTGAGCATCAGTCAATCAGAGTGGAGCACACGGAGCTGGATTATTGTGGTTTATATGTACTTTTTCTGCTCCAAAGCATGAAAGTTAATTTAAGAGAATGACTATTTTTTTATTTTTGTTGTTGGCCTGTTAAAAATATTTTACCTACTTTAAAACAGGAAGTGGAAAGATCACAGATGGATGAAAAGAATATAAAATCCCTTTATTGTCCCTTAGTGAGGAAAGTTTGGTGTCACCACAGTAGGGCTGAACAATTTGAGGAAAAGACTGAATCACAATTTTTCTAGCAGAAATTGCGATTTCAGTTCAATTCACGATTTTCTGCAAACTAAGGTCCAACACTAGGCTGCCGAGCCATCCTGTAGATGAAGTGAACAATGGTCTAGATTCTAATCTAGAACAACAAATCATTCACATTATTATTTACTATTAAATCATACAATAAAAACAGTTAAAGCTATTCATATTTTCTCCCATTATAATCTATTTTTATTTTTAATGTGATGTGAAGCAACTTGTGATTTTTATCTTGAGGAGCTTTATAAAAACATGTTCTACTCCAGAATGCATGGAGGAAACCAGTAGGTAGAAATAGCTTTTTAATGTATTAAATAACAAAAACAGTTTTCCTGCATTACCACTAGGGCTGTCACGGTAACCGCAAAAATGAAATATCGCAATATTAAGAAACCCACCGCGCTGCATCATGGGCCACCGCTATTACCGAACTGGATTCGACTCAATGATGCATGTTGAGAAGGATGGCTGCACTGGTATCAAAACGAAACGTTACTTCGCTCCTTTGGGAGCACTTTGGTTTTCAGTACGTCAGCTGCTGCGCAGCCACAGTCCTTGGCCGAGACAGAGCTGCCACCAGCGGCAAAAAAATAATAACAAACGCTCGGAGACCTGCTGAAGTCCCGGACAAGCACTGCTTCTGCAGCCGTCCTGAAGAGAGTTTGAGCCGAGCTGGAGCTCACTCGCTACCTGCAGGAGGAATGCATCCACCCTAAAGAAACCCCCCGACATGGTGGAGCAACAACCGGGAGAGATTCCCTTTGCTCGCCAGAGTCGCACGCAAGAATGTGTGTGCTAGTGTAACGAGCGCACCATCCGAGAGGGTTTTCAGTGTTGCTGGAAATGTTGCCACCTCTCTCAGATCCTCTCTCAAGGTTAACATGCTGGTTTTCCTTGTGCGTATAGTGACCGAGCTATAAATCACCATTGTTCGTGTGTGTGAAAGTGAAATGATAGTGCCCGCCCGTGCCCGGTACATGTAATTTTTTATGCTTGATTTTAAACAACTAAACAAAATGGGGACTTGTTTCTTATTTGTTAGATGCTGCAGCCAAATTTGCATTTAAAAGTTTAGCCTTCTCCTGAATTTTGTTGTTTTGAAGTTCAGTCGGACTCCGACTGTCGGAGAAACAAACGTTACTGCCATCTGTGTTGTTACTGCCCTTTGATCTGCATTCAGTGAAGTGTTATAAAAGAAGGCACGGCAATTTTTAACCTTTTTTAAATGTGTAAACACCAAGTTTCAAGGCAAACATTGCCGTGAGTTCAGTAATTTAGTAAATAACAAACTTTTAGCAAAATAGATAGTACTGCAATAAAAAAAGTGCTGCAATAATATCGTACACCGCAATATTGAGCCACCCTGAATCACCGCAGGGGGAATTCCTCAACCGCGACAGCCCTAATTACCACGGCAGGCTGAAGCCGTCTGATGGTTCTTCTTCACTAAAACGTCAGCTCCGTGAGAGAGACGCACGCATTCTGACACCTTAGCTTGTTTGAACTAACGTGTGCCGTCAGAAACATTCAGACAATCTTTAAAAGAGAAGTTGAGCTTTCAAGTCAACTAGAGTGTGCGACTCCGCACTCGCGCTGGTGAAGCATAAACCAAGCTTTAGAAATCAGCCTGAACCTGCTGATGTGGGAGGAGTCTCTCTCTCTCCCCTACTCAACGACGTTCTCTCTCTCTGTCCCGGGCTCACCTACGGTGCCATTATTATCGGCTCTAGCAGCGCTGTGTGTGGGAACATAAAACAGGAAAATGACCTGAACATGCAGCTCTGGCAGCTGTGGAGGTGGGCTCGGCTCTGGACGTTACACCCCACCCCCCTCCCCCGCGCTGGCTTTTACCTGCTGCAGGGCCAGCTTTGCCGACAGGCGACAAAGGCGGCCGCCTGGGGCGCCATCTGATGGATAGGGCGCAAAATAAAAAAAAAATAAAAAGTTTATTAAATTTATGTTTGTAATATGAAATGCGCTCTCTACATACTCAAAATTCCCCTTTGAAATGACATGAAATTAAAACATCAATATTTAAATTCTAACGATCTGGCTGCATTTCGAGCTCCCGCTTGGGCCACCGCTCCGATGCATTTGACCGTTAAGGGTGCCGTAGATCACGTGTGTGGGTGGCACTGTAGAAGGACATCCTGTTGTCGTCGCATTTAAACTTTTGGTATTTTACGATGAAAAGAACACCTAAGCCATCGGGATCAGCATTCCGAAAGCGAAGGAAGGAGGAAGAATAAAAACGGGCCCAAAGCAGAGGTATGTAGACTTTATAAGTTTGGCAAAGGAACTTTTTGCGGTACAATTTTAGCTAACTGCCTCTCCTGCCACGCACGGGCCACAGACGGACCCTCACTAGCTGTTTACATACACAATACAGTATCTCATAACTTTAACCAATTAATTTTACTTTTGAATTGTCGTGTCCAGATGCAGTGAGACAATGTTGAGTCTCCCTGTGATGATGAAGAATGTAAGATTTTTTTACTGGTTTTTGGAGCTTGATTGCAGCCTTTTTATGAACTTAGTTTCAAGTTTTAAGTATGCATACAATATGAATTTAATATTTTCATATCAGAAGAACGCTAGGTGTGGGTGTAGCAAATTTTCAACTTTGTCCGACACATCGGGCGGGCGGCACCTCCGCGGCCGTGGCGGGGACTCCCCCGCTGCCGCCGGGCCCGGCGGGGAGTGAGAACTGCCTAAACACAGCATGAGATCTTATTTCGTCTCTTTCTTGTTTACACTGCAGCGTCTTCATCCAGGCATCACGCAGCAGAACATTTACTGGGCTACAGTCTCAGCATCTAGAACCAGGTGAGTAAGTTACTTGTTAGGCTATTTGTAATCAGCAGTAGAAATGGACTTTTTCAAATTAAATGGCTTATCACATCGATATGCTAAATTAATTTATTTAAATCCACACCAGACACTTGTTTTTGGCACAATGAGTGCAGCATTGATTTAGCATTGAGAATATTAAATAATCTGAAGACATCTGAAATTGTCTCCTTAAGATGTTATTGTCAATTAGGCTGTAAATTTGTAAAAAAAAAAAAAAAAAAAAAAAAAAAAAAAGATGGACATTAGTTTTTGTGACATAGTGAGTCATCTTCAAGGCATAAAGGTTTATGCCCTGAAGAAGTTGGTACTGAAACGCGTCAGTGTTTCCTTGTTTAATAAATGAAATCCTCAGAGTGCCTCAGATCACCGGTTCTTCTTCCTCATATTCTACATTTATTTGATGCTGAAGAGCACCTGAGAGTGAGACATAAGTTTTTTCAAATATTCCCCATGGATGCGCTCACTTCCACCTGTTTTTGATAATTGTATTTTGAGTTTTGCTTTTGATTGCACAGTTTAATGCTGCTTTTGATTTAGCACCCCCCCCCCCCCCCCCCCCCCATGGCATTTGCACAACATTTCGAGTTGTTGGTT